GAGAGAGAGAGAGAGAGAGAGAGAGAGAGTCTGTATGTGTGTGTGTGTGTGTGTGTGTGTACTATTTTTGTATTTTTCAGATTGCATAGCGAGATTTCCAATGATAAGAATTTAGAGCAGAAAAACATGTTTAGCATTAGAAGAATATGATAACAACAGGCGCTGACGTTTTGGCATTTTAGCTGGATGTCTCCTCTATAATATGTGTGCGCCTGTGTTTTAGACGGCTGGTGTTTGTTTGTCTGTCTGTCTGTCTGCAAGCTGGTAATTATAAACGAGATCATGATGTCGAAATACCTTACCGGGCAAAAGTCGTAACCCTTTTGCCGTAGCATGCGCTGCTGTCAACTTTGGGCTTAATGTGTGTTCAGAAGACTTAGGCCATTCCCCGCGGGGCAGTGCCACTGACTGTAGTGTCTTTAGCCCCCCTTGGGCAGCGCAATAAAAGTGACAGAAATGTCTTTTGGGCATTCCCAAAGGGGGAATATTAGCATATTGTAAATGGGATGATTTATTAATGTCATGCTCATGCTGTGCCGGAACAACATAGGGGGAAGTGCTGCTTTTTCTTTCTTCATATATGTACTTACTATCGTCATTTTCCTCTACTTCTTTGTATGTTTGTCACTTTCTTGTGAACTGCTATTTCAGGGGTGCCTTGATAGTCGAAGCAGACTTTGTGCTGTTGAGGCTATCAAGAGAGGTGAGCAGAGTAAGTCTGATTCCCCGTTTAGACTTCACTGTTGACATCCACCCCTTGGCGCTCATATGACCTTATGCAGTTTCGAGCGCCGTAAAAACCTGACTAAAACAAACAAAAAGACTTATAGCGGGTGGTTGAAGGGCGCAGTTGGTATACGTCCTACTTTTTTTACTTTCTCTATGTTATATCTGTCTGTTTGTTGGTCTTACTTTTCCCAAGTTCTAGATGACAATTATTGTGTCGATGTGCTTCTCTAGCTTTTTACTCAAACTAAACAATCAAAGAAAACCCATAACCCCCCCCTCCCCCGTCCTCTCCTTTTCTACAGATGGGCTACTCCCCTCTGCTCCGTGCTGCCTCACAGGGTGCTCAGGAGGCGGCGGAAGTCCTGCTGGAGAGCGGATGTGACGTCAACATGCAGGATGAGGTAAAGTTCCTTTGTTTTATGTCCTTTTAATTCGTACTTTTCATAGTTTCGATCTGGGTCTTTTCTTGTTGTTATTGTTGTTGTTGTTGTTGATGTTGTTGTTGTTGTTGTTGTTGTTGTTTGGGAGGGTGAGAGTGCTCTTTTGGGGG